GCAGCACCGCCCAAGTGTTCAGCTGCTGGCTGCTGGGTGGGTTTTGTTCAGACCTGGTGATGAAATCGTCCAGAACAAGGTCCCCGAGCCCAGCGAGCATTGGTCAGCCGTGGAGCCTTTCAAGATGCCGGTTCCTCACCTCAGGCTGGCTGCCGCAGGCTTCCAGGGGTCCACACGTTACTTTTTGGATTGGTGGAAGCCCATCGGAGTCAGTGACCTGAGCCCACACACACTTGTGTCCACTCCCTGTCCTAGACGCTTTTGCTAATGTCGCAGTTTCTGCTGGTTTTCTGGGTGGAGACCAGACATGTACAATGGAAGTTCTGTCCTTCCCCTTTCAAAAAATACAGATACTCTATCCACTCTTAGACACCTTGCTTTTTTCACTTAACAGGTTTTACTTTATTTTTTGTATTTCTTTAAAGATTGTGTTTATTTATTGGAGAGAGTGAGCGCACGCAGGGCAGAGGAGGGAGAAGCAGACTCCCCACTGAACGGAGAGCCCGATGAGGGGCTCCATCCCAGGACCCTGGGGTCATGATCTGAGCTGAAGGCAGATGCCCAACCGACTGAGCCCCCCAGGCACCCCGACACTGTATTTTTTTAAAAGATTTTATTTCTTTATTTGACAGACAGAGATCACAAGTAGGCAGAGAGGCAGGCAGAGAGAGAGGACGGGAAGCAGGCTCCCCGCTGAGCAGAGAGCCCGATGTGGGGCTCGATCCCAGAACCCTGAGATCATGACCCGAGCCGAAGGCAGAAGCAGAGGCTTAACCCACTGAGCCCCCCAGGTGCCCCAACACTGTATTTTAAAGGTGTGCCCAGATCAGTGGCCATGGCTGCTGGGCTTTTGTAACCGCACAGAGCTGTCTCCTCTGATGCGGGTCCTGCACACTTTCCCTGATCGTTTTTCTTAGGACAAGTCGCCCAGAAGCAGAACGTAATGTGCAGATTTGTTTTCAGGTGACTATTAGGTGTGTTCATCCCCTGGGGAAATGGGTACAGGCCAGTGGGGAGGAGGCCACACAGGATGCCCGTGTCTTGGAGTGACATAAAGTCCCAGGTATCCCACTGGTGAGGGCAGAGGGCCTGCAGGAGCTCAGGACATTCTCCGAACAGTCCCCACAGACCTGGCTGTGGGAGATGGAAACACACCAAAGCTCCAGGTTCACAGAAATGACAAGCATGGATCCCCCCAAACCAGGCAGGAGGCCAGACCCTCTGCCCTGAACCAAACTGGTCCCTGTATTTGAATCCCACAGGCGGCTTCCCAGCGGCTCTGCCCTAGGGGACCATCCCTATCTGTGGGGGACCTCTGTGAACAATGGAGTACGAGGGGTCCGCGGAGTACAGATCCATTCCCCCCAAGCCTGGTGCCCAGCAGGTGGCTGCTGTCAGACCCACTCCCCCCGCTCCCCCCTGCCACCAGAGCCTCGAGAGCAGGCACCCAGGCTGCCTGGCCGGCGTGCCTGAGCCCCGGTTCCAGAATCACCCAGTTGCCCCCACGTTTTATGGATCTGTTTGTGCCATCGGTGTACAACACATTTATTGGCATTAACGTGGTGATCGATTCCGCATGTTGGATAGTAAAGGTTACGGTCAGGTATGCAGGGTCCTGAACATGCTGGCCTCTGCGGTCCCCCCGAGTCACTCCCCACACGGCCGTGTGAGCTCTGCATGTCATCCCACGGCTGGAGGCCCGGCCCCGGCAGGGACCGCGTGCTTCCCAGGTGAGCCACGTTTCTGTTAAGAAGCTGCTTGTCAGGACTTCTGACTGCTGGCCACCTGTCTCGCTGTGACCGGCCTCACGTCTTCCCAGGCCCGTGCGGATCCTGCCGTGGGCAGGCAGGGCCCCTCCTTGTCTTCTCCTGTGAGTCTTCAAGGCCACGCAGCAGGTGGGGTGTGAGCCGGCCCGTGGGATGTCTCAGGGCCGGTCGGAGAGCACAGCCCTGTGGGTGCAGGAGGCAGAGACGGACTCAGTGTTAGCTGTGGGTGCGTTAACCCTGATGAGGAGGAGCAAAGCATCAGAGGAGGTTTCTCTCTGCGTCTCTCATGTCAAGGTCGGGGTGGCAGGGTTCAGAATCTCCTCACTCAGAACTCTCCGACCCCTTGTGCTGACTTGCTCACCAGGCCGCAGGCCGGCCCTGGGGGAGATCTGCACACAGAGGGTTCCCCAGGCACTGCCAGGCAGAGACCTCAGTTCTGAGGCTGGGGTGACCCTTTGGAGGTGTCCCAGGCATGGGGGAGAGGCCAGGCCTTTGTCTCCTGCAGGGACTACTGGGGTCTGTGGCTCCGGGCAAGACCTCTGTCTTCCGCTGGGGGTGTTCCCGGAGAGGGCGGAGGTGGAGTAGGTGAAGGGCCATGTTCCCTGGGGCACATGGTGCCTAATCGGGCTGGCTTATGTCGGGCTGCACCCCAGCCAGCTGGAAGGGGGTGCGAGGGCGGGTGCCACCCAGGCTCAGGGAAGCGTCCGAGAGTGCCGCGCCTCGCCTCTGCTCAAGCCCCTGGTCGGAACCCGGTCCCCTGGCTGCATCTCCCTACGAGCAGGCCGGCCGCGTGGTGTTGACCGTGAGCTGCGTGCGCCTGTCGGAAGCCGGGGTCTCTGCTGGGAGAGCCACCGGCCCGCTCAGAACCCAGGGGCCCTGAACATGACAGCTGCGAAGGGGAGACGCAGGCCTGACTGCTTGAGGTGGGTAGGAAAGGTGGGAAGTTTAGAGGAGCTCAGGAGGTCCGTGCGCGTTCGTTTTCCAGTCCGCACAATCGTTATCACGAGCTCCGTGGCTGCAGACACCCAGCTGCTGTGGGTCGGGAGTCCGGCCCGGCTGTGCCTCGTTCCTGCTCCAGGCCTCGCCGTGGCTGCAGTCCTGGCGCCGGCCGGGCGGCGCTCTCGTCCGGAGTCAGCCGGGGAGGCCGGCTCCAGGCTCACTCGGGTCACTGGCGGCTGAAGGACCCAGGCTCTCACTTCATCACGGGCGGCACCTGGAGGCCACGCTCAGGCCCTGCCTCACGGCTCCATCCACGGGCACTTCCCAGCAGGCCGTTGACTTCTGCGAGGCCCTCGGGAGGCTCTGTCTCCCTCCACCTGCTAAGACAGAGCCTTGTGTGATGAAATGTAGTGGCGCCCCACATTCCATTGGTTAGAAGCAAGTCACGGGGGCGCCCGGGTGGCTCAGTCGGCTAAGTGTCTGACTCTTGGTTTCGGCTGAGATCACAATCTCGGGGTCGTGGGATCGAGCCCTGCGTCAGGCTCTGTGCTCAGTGCGGGGTCTGCTTCAGATCCTCTCTCGCCCTCTCTCTTTGCCCCTCCTCCTGCTCTCGCAAATCAATCAGTCAATCTTCTTCTTTTTTTTTTTTTTTAAAGAAGCAATTCCACAGGTCTTGTCCACCCTTGAAGGGAGGGGATCCCACAGGACGTGGTTCATGGCCAGTTGCCGTGGTAGTGTCTGCCACAGCACGAGGCTTGAAAACAGTTTCAGAAGGCCCTTGTTCCAGACCCATCTCTGCTCCTGCTGTGGGACCTCAAGCAAGCTACTCACCTTCTTTGGGTCCCAGCATCCTCACCTGTGACTAAGCAGTAGCGGTCAGTAGTCAGCGGTTTCAACATTAAAATAGATGCATGTTTTTCTTATGTTCGAAGATGGTGTTCAGCTAGCAGTGCTGTTCTTGTGTTAATCCTAGGAACGCTCCCGACCGCGGCTACCCACGCTAACCATAACCAAGTGTGCCACAGTGTGGACGGAGCATAGCCACGTCTGAATAATTCTCCAAGGGCAGGAATGCCACCCTCGCTTCACGGACCAGGACACCTGGCTCAGAGAGGCTGAGGGACCTGCCCAAGCCACCCAAGCCACCCAGCTAGAAAACGGCAGCACTGGGCACTCGGCCCAGGCAGGCCCAACTTCAAAGCATGTGCCCTTCCCCCACTGTCCCCTCTATCTCTAATTGGCAGCTGTCACTGCTCTCTGACGGAATTTAACTTTCCAGCAGGCAGGCTGGGGGTGGGAAGAGGCTGCTTGCTCTGACCTTGACAGAGTTCTGGGGAAAACCTGGGCCCGTCACCACACCCTCCTGCTAACCCTTCCCCTTCGCCACCGAGCAGCCCCTTTCAGCAGAACTCAGGAGGGGACAGCTTGGCTCTCTGGTAGCCAGGCTGGCCCTGGAGTGTGCTGACCGTCCCCACACGTCTTTATGACATCCCGTCTCAAGGAGAACAGTGACCCGACCGGTCACCACCAGTGAAACTGTCTTCAGAACCCGCCGATGCATTTGCCTGCCTTTAACTGGGGCTTCTGTCTCCACTGAAGGCAGCTGGGGTTTCTGAAGGGGAGAGGTGGCTGTTGCCACCCACAGTAGGACTGCGCGGGGAGGGGCTCATGGGGTATCATTTACAGCGGCGTGGCAGGCAGAGCGCCACCACGATGACGCGGTGCTCCCACGCGGACAGCTGCTGAGCTTCATCCACGCTGGGCCTGGGGGGCGCAGGGGACTGGGGCTGGAATGTGGGGGCAACGTGGAGCCATAGCCTTAAAGGGTGTGACCTTCAGGTGAGAAGCCTGGCCGGACGCCACCTGGGGGAAGGGTGCAGAGGACGAGACACTTGGGCCTCCTTCTGCACCTTCCCACTTAGCTGGTAGCAGGGCACCCTCTGGGCTCCAGAAGCCAGAGAGCAAGGAGGGCTGTTTCTGCAGAACGTACCGGTCAGCTCCGAGGGCGGAGAGCAGGGTGGACGGGGTGGAGAGTGGGCGGGCAGGTGGTTTTGGTGGAGGATGTCGGAGCAGGGGTTAGGTGGGCATTGGCATCAAGCTTTGCGGCGGGCTGAGGATGTGGCCGACATCGCAGGGCGAGCAAGTGACAGCGCCTGTGCGTTTCTTCGACTTCCTGGCCCGGAGCTGGGTGCGGGAGGAGGGCGTGGGGAGGAGCGGACTGTTCTCCAGGAGAGACGGAGGGCTGGGGTTGGGGGCCAGAGAGCAGACGGGGTGGGGGGAGCATGTGAGGAGGGCTGGAGGCAGAGAGAGCGGACAGGAGCCAGCAGGTGGCAGGAGGCTGCGGTGGGGACCGAGGTGACCAGCAGTCTGACTCTGTGATGGCACGTCGCCGTCAACACCCAAGAGGCCTGACAACAAAAAGCAACATGCGTCCATCTCTGGGGGAAAGGAAGCCGCATCTTCCTGACCTGATGGCTGGGAAGGAATTAACAAGATCCTCAACGCACAAACTGTGGAAGAAAATATTGGTTGCTTTGACATTAAAAATGTGAAAATTTCTGGGGGCCCCTGGGGAGCTGTCAGTCAGGCGTCTGCCGTCGGCTCAGGTCATGGTCTTGGGGTCCTGGGATGGAGCCCCTTGTCCGGCTCCCTGCTCAGCGGGGGCGTCTGCGTCTCCCTCTCCCACTCCCCGGCTCATGCGCGCGTACACTCTCTCTCCCCCCCCAAAATAAGTAAATAAAATCTAAAATGTAGAGATTTCCATTACAAAGTGAAGACACAAGTCACGGACTAAAGGTCACTGGCAGTATAAGCCGCTGAGGACAGAGTAGCATCTAGAGCATCTGAGGGACTTCGGAAAACCTGTCAGGGAAGACAAGGAACCAGACGGAGAGACGAGCAAAGCGCACGGGCCGGTCGGGCAAGCGGAAGACGGGGCTTGGGCCCAGAGTGCGGCACACTGCGGGGCTCGCTGGCCCGCGGGAACACACGGGCTGGGTCACAGCGCGCCACCTTTTCACGCCCAGCAGGCGGGCAGAGCACCAGGCGTGGTCAGGATGGGGGACGTAGGCATGTGGCACTCGCAGCAGGAAGGCCCCGCGAGCATCCCTGCAGCAGAGACGCCACACACGCGCCATGACCCGGTGGTGAGTGCTCTGCGGAGGGCAGGCCACGGGAGACTGCTCCGGGCGTGCAAAGACACGCATCAGCGTTCACGGTATTGTTTGTCACGGCAAGCAGCCTGGGAGCGTCGATGGGCGGGAGAATGAATCACTCGATTATGGTAAATTTGTACAGTGGGATCTTGGGGACTTGACAATGAATGAATGAAAGCCGGTAAACCCCCGACATAATGAGTCAGAAAAGCTGAAGGGCACGTGTGGCACAGCTGCTCGCACGCCGTCTGAAAGGAAGCCCAGGGAAGGTGGTCTAGGGCTCACCCGGGAGCTGTGTGCGGTGCTGAGAGCCGGACCCTCCCCCATGCTCCACCCGTCCCGTCCGTGGGGCTCCGCTGCTCAGGCCGGGCGGCGACAGGGTGGGAGGCAGCATGTAGCGGTGTGTGCGTGGGGGGGTGAGTGTATCTGTGAGTGTGGGTGACTGTGCCCAGCAGAGGGGGCAGGGGTGTGTATGTGAGCAGGGGTGAGTGTTGGTGGGGAACGGAGTGTGTGTACACATGGGCACATATATGGGCACGTGTGAGTGGGCGTGCTCACACGAGTGTGGGGTGTGAGAGCGTATGTGAGTGCGTGACCGCGTGTGGGTGACGAGGGTGAGCGCGTGACACGTGAGAGCCGGTGTGAGTCTGAGCATGAACACGCGTGCATCGTGATAGTGTGAGCGGCGTGTGACAGTGGGTGTGTGAGTGTGTGCTAACGTGAGGCTGAGCCCTGAGGCCACTTGTGGGAAACCCTGAGGAGCCGGCCCCCCAGTGCGGGTGACTTGGGGGCCATCCCCGAGGTCCCCATCACTGGACATGGGCCACTCTGGCAGCTAGAGCCAGAGGGGGGCCCAAGGAACGGGATCGCTGGCCTCCTTAGGAGCCGCCTTCAAGGGAAGATCGACGTGATGGGCCCCAGACACGAGGACCTCGGGCCCCCCAGTTCTTCAGGAAGGTTCCTACCAGGTGCACTTCCTGGTCCGTCCAGCAGGTGGCGCTGCCCAGGCAGTTTGCAGTGGGATGTCTGGGTCTGGGCCCAACCCCCTGTGCAAGTTGGGGAAACTGAGGCAGGACTTCTCCTGCCTCCAAGGCTTTTCCTTCCACACCAGGGAATTCACTCCCACAGGTGCCGAGTGTTCATGGGGACTTGCTCCATCCCCAGGGCTGTGAACGGGGTGAGCAGAGCAGGGCTCCCTCAGGAGTTCACGTCCCGGAGACGGGACGGGCGCATGTCCTGTGGGAAGTGCCTGGCCCTGGAACAGTGCCCTCATCCCACATCCAGCCCAGTGTGCACGGGAGCCCCCCGCGCCAGCTGGCCCCGAGCCCCCCTGGGATTTACGGTCATGGCTGTGCGCCTCAGCTCCCTCGTTAGCACCTGGTCTCTCCTGTCTCCATGTTTCGGGGACAGGCAGCATGTCCCGTGCACAAGAATGGGGACACAGATGGACATGAGACACCCTGCAAAGGCACTGGGGCCCCTCCACGTGGGCACCTCAGCGAGCCCTTACCTGCGGTGCTGGGGGCAGGTGGGTTCAGGACATGCTCGAGTCCCAGACGCTACTGTGGGTGTGGGTCTTTGGAGACGTGCTCCGGTGAAGCTGAGGTCCTGCTGGATGGAGTCGGGGAGCTTTAAATCCAATGTCAAATGTCCTTAGGAGAAGAGACACAGAGACAGACTCACCCAGCAGAGAGGCCCCATGGGGACAGAGGCACAGGCTGGAAGGACAAGTCTGCGGAGGAAGGCCCTGGGTTGGTAGCCAGCATCAGCACCCAGGGGCGCAGGAAGGATCCTCCTCTAGAGGCCTGAGGGAGTGTGGCTCTGCTGACCCCTTGATCTCAGTCTTCCCACCTCCAGAATGGGAGAAAACAGACTTCTTTGTGCCCAGCCCCGCGGTCTGGTCTGTGGTGCTTGCTGTGGCCGCCCTGTGCTGCTCATGTGGAGGGCACACCCAGGACCGGGAGGGAGCCTCTGGCTCACAGCAGCCCCGAGGGGCAGGCTGGCTCCCCACCCCCTTTTCCTCCGAGACCTGACTTGGAGGGGCCAAACATGGGCCAGGTGGGCGCCTCTGGGGCTCCTAGCCAGACTTCCCCAGATCTCAGCTCGGCGGCTGGATGCAGACCCCTCAGCCACCATGTTCACGCACACGTGTCCCAGTGTGTCCCCCACCCCGGCCCGTGCATGCTCTGAGCACACGCCTGAGTGGCGCTCCAGGCTGAGGCACGGTGAGGCATCCTGTGCCTGCCACTTGCAAGGCAGGGATATGCCCTTGGAGCCTCCGTTGTCCCATCTGTAAGGGGCTAGTCCTAGCTGGCCCACAGGGCCATTGTTAGGATGACCCCAGACATTGCCGTCCCGTGCGGGGAGAGCAGGTGCTCCGTGAGCGGCGGACCCTGACTGTGGGTGTGCAGCGCGGCCGAGAAGACCGGGTGGGCGAGCCGAGGGACAGCAGCTCCTTGATTCCCACCTATGAGCTGCTGGCGGGCCGCAGGGAAGCTGGTGGTGGTTCAGGCAGGAGGGGCGGGTCTGGGGCAGCCCGAGGGCCAAGAGAGAAGAAAAGTCCGCCTGTGGGCAGGGCTCACGCGTACAGCTCCTGCACAGCCAGTGGGTTAAAACCTGAGTATTGAAGAGAGACAGGTTCCGCCAGCGGATGAGCAGGTGCGTGAGGTTCACAGCTGGCCTTAGCTTCGGATGCACAGAGTCCAAATGGAAGGCTCCCAAAGTCGGGGTGCAGTGGGGGAGGGGGCGGCACGCAGGGGATCACATGATTTTCTCGCAACCTGTGTCAGCAGTCCAGTTTCAGAGACTGACCTTAAAATCCGTTCACGCGAGTATAGGTTCTGACCATACGGCCCAGGGCAATGGTGAGCACAGGCAGGAGCAAGTGGGGGGCCTGAGGTCTGATGGGGGGAGGACATGGATGGCAGCGCCAGGCGCCACGTAGGGGAGGGCTGCGTGGTCTGGCCCGCGGGGCCCCCTCCACGACCAGAAGTATCTGCTTCCGTCTGCAGCGGGAATAGGCAGCTGGAGCCCCAGGGGAGGGAAGTTGAGGTTCGATTTTTGTTGCTTTTTTTAACGTCCGATATTTCTGTAGGACCCACTTGCTGGGCGTCTCATGGGGCGCTGTCCTCCTGCTGTCAGTGGACACGCAGACCACAAAATAAAGCAGTTATTCCCGTCTGATTTGTCACTCCAGTGTAAACTTTGGCGGGTATGGCTGTTCTAAACGAACCATCCAGCACCGGCCTCAGGGTCCCTTTACCCTGGTAAAGCCGGGCCAGCCAGAGAGCAGTTCCAGACACAAAAGCCACTTTGTGCTTGAAGACGTCCCCCCCGGTGTTATGTATCACGGGAAGTATTGGGAACAGCAGACGCGTCCAGCCACAGGGGATGGCCGAGTGATCAGCGCGGTTCCTCCAGACAGAGCGTCACCGACCATCCACAGACGCAGCCAGAAATGTTACCGTGTGCTCTCGAGACCCAGCAATGTCACTTCCAAGAAGCCCTCTCCAAGGCACACCCAAGGGAGAGTCCACAACCTTTCACAAAGATTGTGAAAAGCCGGACTCCACCTGGTGGCCCCCCGCGGGGTTGAACGCGGTTGAACCAGCTTCCGAACGTGGAGTGCGGAATGGAGCGCAGAGACCGATGGGCAAGTTCGAAGAATTCAGGGGAGGGTCGATCTGCACAGGTGCGCGTGGGGCTCAAGGCGGTCAGCAAAGGACGTGGGAGCCAGCAGCCGTCGCCTTCAGGGAGCGCGGTCCCCTGCCCACCTGGGGAGAAGGAAGGGGCCTCTGTGTGGGGCCAGCAGCTTCGCAGGGTCCTGGGACAGAGGCCGCGCACTTAACGATGGATATGAGTATGTGCAGAACTCCGAAACATGATTTATTTTCGTGTCTTTGCTCTCCTATCACAGGGGCTGTGTGAGACCATGCAAGAGGTAAGACATGACTGCACGTACACGTGTGTACATGCATTTAAAGTCAGAAATATCACAGCACACACACATGTAGGTAGGGTCTTTAGTGTGTAAATAAGTGAGCAAATACCTTTCTCCAGGGAGGGTTTTTAAAAATCGGACCGGCCCGGTGAGAACCAGAGGGTTGGCAGCGACAACCCCTGGGTATTAGGGTTAAGGGCCATCTTTTTGTCTTCTCTCTTCATCACGCTTTTTATTTTCTGAACATTTTGCAATGAGTCCGTACTCCTCTTACGAGGAGAAAAATAACTATTTTGCAATAAATGCATAAATAAATGTTACAAGGGAATGCCAGTGTTTACCAGGATTACGAAACGGCACCGACAGACCCTTGCGGAGGTTTTGTGAAGTGGGACAAGATGGAGGGCTGCCCCGGTGTGCTCGGTGCGTATATGACACGTGTGGACGGCGGGGACCCTGCCTGGGTGGGAGATGAGGGGCGGCCCCCTGATGGGCTGCTTCTGCCCTCTTTCTCTGCCCTTGTCTTTGATGGAAGATTCCCCCACAAAAATGAATCAAATGGCTTTTCAGAGAGGGCCGAGAGGAAGGGAGCTGGACGCCGTCCCCAGACAAGAGGAAGGGGTCACATCAGATCTAGACGGCCCTGGAAGATGGGACAGAGTCTGCTCTCCCAGTTCCCACATGGGGAAACCGAGGCCGAGAAGCGTTAACCCTCCTTTCTCACTCACTGTGCCCTTACTGTTGTCACATGGGCTCCCTGCCAGAGCCCTGAGACTGGATGCTCTGGTAATCCCCATCTTACTGAAACAGAGCAGTTACGCAACTCGCCCGAGACCGCACAGCCAGAGCAGGCTTTGAAGCCCCGAGCCAGACTCAGAGCCACACGCTCGGCCCTGCCAGCTGCCTCCAGGAAGGGCCTGACCGCGCTGGCCCACGGTTCTGTCCTTGCTGCTGAACTCCCCACCCGTGTCCAGGCCATTCTCTTGCCTGAAACACCCTCACTTTTCTGCTCTGTCTGAGGGGAGGAAGGGCTGGGCTGCTCTGTGGGCAACATCCCTTCCCATACACTCGGACTTGCCAACCAGCTGGGGGCCATATTGCTCACACCCAGCTTCCCCGGGCACCGTGGCCACTCACTCACCACTGGGCAGCGCCTCTGCTTCCCAGACAGACAGCGTTTTCCCATCCTGCCTACACTTTCTGGAAAACCGGTGTCATGGCTGATGACTGGACGGGCCTGGCCCTGAGTGGCCTTCCTGGCTGGCTGGGCCCTGGGGACATGGTAGGCACAGAAATAGCCTTGCTTCTCCCCAGCTGCTAAAAGCCCACCCAGCTGCTGGCACGAGGTCTGAGTGCCCGACTGCCCTGTTCTCTGCTCGGGACTGGCCCTGTTTCCCTCCTGGACAGAGCAGAGAGCGAATCCTCAGTCTGTGGCCCCCAGAGTTTCCAGGCTGGGACTCGACGGGGGATGGGATGAGGAGCCGAGGCCGTCGCCTCCAACAGCCCGGACGTTCCCGCTGCCACTTGGGCTGGCAAGGTTTAAAGTTCCCATTGCTCGGGAAGGACAAGGACAGGCTAAAGGGTCTGCCAGCCCAGCAGCGAGGGTTGATTCTCACTGGGGCAGGGATTCCTATGGGGTTCATGGGTCTGTAAACTTAGATGGGAAGAAGGAATTACACCTTTGCCCCAGACCCCAGCCTCAGCAGGATTAGCCAAGAGGCAACTTTGCTGCCCATGGAGACTTCAGACGGGCATATCAGCCAGAGTCAGTGCAGATATCTCAGAAATGCCGTCCTCACTCCAACCTTCCAGGCAGGTACCGTGATCATCCCCTTTACAGAAGACAGAACCAGGGTCGGCAGGGACCCATGACTCAAGCTTGTGAATTCCAGCACAGGTCCATCTAACCCCACCTCCCCAGCCATCCTCTTATTTTTGGACATATTTCCGTGTGTGTACCTTTCCCCCTAAGTACTTTGCCACGCGTATCACAAACAAGATGTCAGTACTGTAGACGCTTTACTTCTGGAAATGCAGATCTCTTGACCCCTTCTTGCCTATCCCCACACCCACCCTGCAGTCACAAGCTGAGAGATCTTGGGCCAGGAACCAGCAGGACCCCCTGAGTTACCCCCTAGACCCCTGGTTTCTGGAGGACCCTCTTCCTTGGAGAATCTGAGGACAGAAGCTGGTGTCTTAGTTTTTGCCCGGGCTCGTTCCTCTTGAAGCTTCAGTGCAAGCCGGGTGCTGCCTTTCTGCTATGGAGACACACATGCAACATCTTCCCCTGGGGGTCCCGGCAGCTCTGGCACCAGTGCCCCAGCTCCTCAACTTGTACGGTCTGATCCCATAGGTAGTGAGCCCTCCGTCACTGGAGGCATGTAAGTGAAGACTGAAAAGAGCTCTGGAGAGGGTGGGGAGATGTTGTAGAGCACATTCGAACCCAGAACACGGCCTGACTGGCATCGGGGTTTCTGCACCTCTGCCCGTGGGCATGCCAGGCGGGAGAGCTCTGCAGCTCTACCCCATGCCCACTGCAGGCTGTTTTGTGGTGTCCTGCTCCCTGTCCATTAGACGCCAGGAGCACCTCCCACCCAACCAAAGTGAACCCCCAGAAGTGTCCCCTGGGGGGAACTCACCCTGTTGAGAACTTCTGAAGTAGCGGGAACTGAAAGTCCTTTCTGTCCTCAAATCCCAGGACCGAATCTGCTCCCAGGGCAGCCCCCTCGTCCTCTCTGTTCGTGGCGCTGCAGCCTTTCGGTTGCTATGGAAACTGGGCCTTTTCTTGCCTCGCCATCTCCTCGCCCAGCTCACTGATACCTTCTTTCAACTCAGGGAACCCGTGTGGGAGCCCGGGGGCGCCCGCAGACAGCCCCCCGGTTCCTCTTCTGCCAGCCCCGAGCGACCGACCCGGGCCTCCCCAGGAGCGAGGATTCAGGGAGAGGGGCCGGCGCGCAGGGCTCCCTCCCTGAACCGGCCCGCAGGGAAGGAGGGGCAGGGGGCTGGGTCCGGTGGGGCGGGGCCGCTGCCAGAGAGACGCGGGGGTCGACACGACACCCGACACCCGAGTGGAGATGAAGGAAGCAGAGGTGGGCGGTTTGCCGGTGTGCGGCGGCTGCAGAGACCCGCCCTGGCCTGGTCCTTGCCCCTGGAGGCAACAAACCCCACACCGGCCTTAAGCAGGGGTGAGTGACATACCCTGGGAGTGAGAAGGGGTAGGAGAGGGGCTAGGAGACAGGTGGGAGGCAGTTGCAGCAGTCCAGGAGGAGGCAGTGAGGAATGGGCCCCGCGGTGGTGGCCAGAGCGGGGGCTGGGCAGGCGGAACGCAGAGGGAGAGCAGGTCTGATGCAGCGGGAAGAGCCACGGCTGGGGCCAGGCCTCCTGGGGGTGGGGCCAGGCCTCCTGGGGGTGGGGCCAGGCATTGGGGTGGGGGCGGAGGGGGAGCCATATGTTGTGGGGGTGGGGGCCAGGCCTCTTTGGGGTGGGGCCATAGGCCCATGGGGAGGGGCCAGACATTGGGGGAAGGAGGGGAAGGGGCAGTCATATATTGTGGCGGAGGGTTCGGACTGCATATCCTAAGGGTGGGGCCGTATATCCTAGGGGGTAGGGCCATATGCCCTTGGGGCAGGGCCAGGCCTCCTGGGGGTGGAGCCAGGCCTCCTGGGGGCGGGGCAAGGCCTCCTGGGGTGGGGCCATATAGCCTACGGGTGGAGCCAGGCGTTCGGGGTGGGGGTGGAGGGGAGCCATATGTCGTGGGGGTGGGGCCCGTCCTCTTGCGTGTGGGGCCATATATCTTAGAAGGCTGGGCAGGCCTTTGGTTGGAGAAGGGAAAGGAAAGTGCCCTTCTTGCCGGCCCTCTGGCTGTCTCCCAGCTTCCTTTTCTTGGGGCTACCTCCGTGTTTCCCTCCTAACCTTAGCCATCGGCCCAAACAGTACCTTCCGAAATCCTTACCTGGAAAGCGTCTGCCTGGAATGGTTCTGTCCGTGGGGTTCTGCTCACGTCCCTGGGGATGATGCGGCACGTGGAGCACACACTGCGCCTGGTCTGGGAGGGACTGGAGGCGCTATGGCAGAGGCCGGACCGTGGGCCGCGTGCCACTGTTCGGGTGGGGAAGGAAAACAACCGGTAAGGCTGTGTGCATGTGTGCCCATCCACGTTTCCGGGGCGACTCCAAGACGCTGGCCGCATTGCTGTGTTGCTTCCCTGTGGGGAGCTGGGCACTGAGAAAGGCCGAGAAGGAGACTTCTCACCTTATTCCTGAGCCGGCTGCGAGCTGCTTGTGGGCACGTCAGGGAACAGAACCTGGCTCAGCGTAGTGAATAAGGAGCCCGTCTCATCATGGGACCCAGAGGCAGGCAGCTGGGGCAGCAGGGACCTCACCTGGCTCCTGTCTTCATGTCTGCATGACGGCGGCTGCACCACCGCCCTCCGTGGCCTCCACACTGGAAGGAGGGCCTTGCAAAGCGCAGAAACCAGCTGAGTGGGAAGGGCTCTTCCAGAAGCCTGTTCCTGCCATGCATGGGCTGTCAGCGGTGCTGGGTCCCACAGCCCAACCCAGGGAAGGCTGGGACATGGGGGTTTTCAGCAAGGACTTGATGCCCCAGACGAAATCAGAACCCTGGTGGCAAAGAAGACAGAAGGCATGGAGGCAGGATGGGCACACTGTGTGCCTTTTGAATTTTGTACTAGGAAACTCCATCGCCTACTTAAAACAAACAGCCCTCTCCGGCACTTGTCCTGTCCCCGTGGCCCCCAGCTTGCGTCCATCCCAGAACCTCGGTCTCTACACACAGCACCCCCATGGGAGCAGATGCAGGCACAGTTTGGAGCAGGGAGGCTCAAGGCAGCATGGTCTTCCCCCTTCCTGCAGCGGGAGGATGGTGCTATGCCAGGGACAGGTGAGATGGCAGATGGTGGCTGAGCGGGGTGGCAGTCTGCAAGGTAATGAGGTAGCTCACTATCAGGCAATTTTTGTTGGTGGCTGAGAGCCCAGCCCCAGTCCAGCTCACTCAGCCCAGGGAGGTGCGGTCTGGGCCCGGTCCTGCCTGTTTCGAGAAGGCTCAGCTGTGCCTGCATGCAGAAGGTCCTTTGGTGCCCCCCTGTGAGGGGCCAGGATTCCCCAATCTGCTGCCTAGAGATCGGTGTGCTTCAAAGACAGGTCCTGGGCTCCTCCGCCCAGAGAGGAAGATTCAGCAGGTCAGAGGGGCCCCGCAGCCTGCCGTTCCAGACAAGCTCCAGGTGCTTCTGACGCAGTGGCGTCCCTGGCTCGACCTGGGATCCACATCCACAGAGCTTTGCTGAGCGCCTGTGGGACTCCCTTTGCATGCGCTGCCTCCCGTACGGTCCCCGGGATTGCCACCCACGAGATGAAACTGGCATGAGCCCGTTTCACAGACAAGGAAATAGAAACCTAGCCTGTGAAGTCCTGCGGTCAAGGTCACACCGCTGTCCGGAAGGAGCCTCTATCCTGGCAGACAGGCTTGCTCCCAGGAGCGGGCAAAGTCTGTGCCTGTTGGCCCGTGTGACCTCCGTGACCTGAAGGTGTCCCATGGCTGGTCCTCTCCAGCAGAAGACAGACCGATGCCTTAGGGCCGTATCCTCGCCTGCGTTCCAGCCCCATCAGACGGCAGGCACCTGCATTTGTCAAAGGAGCAGAATTAATATTATGTGACCGATACACATTTGTATGTATTGCACACCACACATATATACACACATTATGTATTTGTATATATAAATCTCTCGCCCACACACACACGTGTATATATGTATGGAGGCCTGCATTCCAGAGTGTGCAGGGTGGGCTGGCCTGGGCTGGAGACCCCGAGGACAGCTGATGCTACCGTCCCAGTCTGTTGTGTGCTGGCAGAATGCCCTGCCCTCTGACTTGGAGGAGGTCAGTCTTTTGTTGTATTCAGGCCTTCACCTGATTGGATGAGACCCACCCTTATTGTGGAGGGCAACCTTCTGTACTCAACCCACAGATTTAAAAGCTAGTCTCATCTAAACACATCCAGAATAAGGTTTGACTAAATAAATATCCAGGCACTGTGGCCCAGCCGCCTGGACTCATAAAATCTATACCTCACTGTGCCCGGTAGATACTTGTGGAATGAATAAATCCAGGCCCATTCTGTTAGGGCAGAATCGTCTTTGATGGGCAATAGCCTGGACATGGGAAAGCCTGCTGTGTCCTAGGCCAGGCCTTGCCCTACTGACCACCTCTTGGTGTGGCCTCAGCCCTGAGCTCCCATTTGTTCCTTTGCTGGAGGGAGACCAGTCTAGACTGGGGCCAGCTGGGAACCTGCCCGCTGCTCTGCCCAAGCAGAGGTGTCCAGCCCCGCAGGGCATGGTGGCGGCCTCCCCAGGCAGCCGCCAGCTCTGCTGCCCTTGGAAGTGTCCCAGGTCTGAGCACTGACCACTGGCTCTGGGAGATTGTGGACTGGTGTGCCCACACACTGACCTTGAGGCCCGAGGCTTGGCTTCCCTCTCCTGTTATGTAGCCTGCCCCCCGGGAGGGTCCCAAATGCTCACCCCAACTTTACCGTGCCGCAGTGGCTTTGCCATCACCAGGGAGCGCAGTCAGGGCCCAGGCTACCTGTGGTGGGGGGGGGGCGCTCTGGACTCCGGCTTTCTGGGTTTCAGTCCCCACTCTGCCACCTGGCACGGCGTGAGCAAGCAACGTGGCTCATTTCCTCTGCTGCCGCATGGACAGCACCTGGGTGGCTGCAAGGGTCCAGCGGGCAGTGCGGGCAGGCTCTGAGGGGCCTGCGGATGGGAAGACATTCACGGGTCAGCACTGTGGTGCCGTCCACAGAGGCCAGCGTCCCTCGGCCCTGCCGTGGGCTCCCTGAAGGGAGGCCTTGGGGGCAGCGGTGGTGTGCCCGGGTGTTCATCGGCGTCTCCTCCCACCGGGCTCTTCCCTATAAACACCTCCCCTGAGGGCCGCGTCAGGCTGGCCGCCGGCGAGGACTCCGCCCACTTGCCTGCCGGGCGGCCCTGGACAGTGACCCGCCTTCTGCCGCCGCACGGCTGTTACCGAGAGTCCTCATCTGTAGCGTGGGGGTGACGATCGTGGCGCGCCCTAGGATGGCTTTGGAGACGAACGGGAGTGTAGGAAGCGGGCTCGCCCTGGAGCTTGGCGCAGAGGAAGGACTCAAAACACAGGTGTAGTGGCATCGCCGGGGGCGTGCGGATGAGAAATCCCAGCTCTCTCGAGATTGAGCTGGCCCCGTGAAACCTCCACTTCATTCCTCAAACGTGAAACTCGCCGTTTCAAGGGAGCACTCAGTGGTGTCCGACACATTCTCGGAGTCGTCACAATTATCGGCACCACTTACTTCGAGAACCTTCCATCGCCCCAAACAGAAAGCCCGTCCCCATCAGCAGACACTCCCCACTTCGCTCCCCAGGCCCTGGCACCCACAAACCTGCTCTCCGTCCCTGGATTTTCCTCCTCTTCATGCACAGCTTGTGTGGACAGACCCTCACAGCAAGTGGGGACTCTGCACCCCCGTTTCCCCCTCCCTCTTGTAGCACGGGTCAGCCCTTCCTGCCTTTTCACTGCCCGCTAACATCCCACTGTCCCCACAGCGTGTGTACCCGTTCTTCAGCCGATGGACACTTGGGCTGCCTCCTTACGCTAACGTTGGAAACATCTTTATCCGCAGACTTTTTATTGAAATACGACACACCCGCCAAGCACACAAATCCCGCCTGGGCCGGGGGCTGCGTTCTCAGAACGAAGGCATTCATGGAACAGTAAGAAACAGATCATCGCCAGCCCCGTTAGCCCCCGCTCCCCGGCCTCCTTGAGCGTCGAAGTGACCTTCAGCACGGAAGGTTGGCTTCTGACCCAGCAGGCGTCTCTCCCGCTCACTGCTGTCTGGGACTCTTCTGTGCAGCACGCGGCTTCCGCTCGCTCCTCTTCGTCGTGGCGTGGCGCTCCATCGTCCAGCAGACCACGTTTGTTTATTCCTCCTGCTGCGGACTGATAGCGGGTGGCTCCCGGGGACAGCTGTCACCAGCTGCGCACTGTGGACGTCCCGGCACGCGCCTGTGGAATGACAGGTGCGTCCGTTTCTGCTGCGACGGGGGCTTGAAGTTGTGGCGTGTGCGTGCTCAGCCTCAGGAGGCACGGCTGGCTCAAAGCTCCATCACTCAGAACCCCCGAAGTGTCTGAAAGTGCCCGTTACACGCGCCCTCGGCCTCCGTCAACG